ACCCACACGCCAAAGCACGTAGGCATGCACACACACATGCCCAAGCACACGTACACGTTCATGCATGCTCATGAACATATCGGTAACACCCCATCACCTGTTCGCCTGTGCATACACAAATATCTTGTGCACTAGAGGTTCAAATGAGACTTTTCTCTGAGGACATGACCGACAAACTTGATCTGAACTTTAGGTTCTTTCTCAAGTTAACCATGATGAAAGAGAAGTGAACTAGATGCTATGTGACAGGTGGCAACTTCAATGCATACCAGGTAACCTACGCACACATACACCCATGCACACGCAACTGAGCAAACAAGTGTGGCAACGTATATTTCCATGTTCTTACGATTGATTCATCCGATTTTTGCTCATTCTATCGATGGAAGTAGCATGAGGTTAGCCGCGGGTTTGGGGACTTTTCAGTTGGCCAGTGCGTTGCTCAGACCCCGATCTTTTCCCGACATGCACCTGGTCATAATCATGGATAGGTAATTTAGACTATAATAATAATAACTATCATAGTAACGATAATAATAATAATAATAATAATAATAATAATAATAATAATAATAATAATAATAATAGCAATACAAGGATAGCGAACGTATACAATCTATATTTTCGGTCCAATATAATCGAGACCCCGTGTGTTACGTTCGAGGTCGACAGTGTGTGCCCAGTCTACTATACTCCTACCTACAGCTTCATTCACACATCAGACTCTCTTGGACTCTCGAAGACCAATGTACATGACTGCCAAAACCATAGCCAACCTTTCTTCATGTACCAGGTACGTATTCTTCCCCCTCTCATCAGACCTCGTTCACCCACACACTCGTCTCCTGCCTGAAACCACCGATCGCCCGTCTACCCCGTAATGGTTTAACCATTACCCATTTTTGCTAGGATTAAAACACAATAATAATATAATAGAAACAATAATAACATAATAATAATAATAATAATAATAATAATAATAATAATAATAGTAATAATAATAATAATAATAATAATAACAGTAATAATGCAAGGAAAATGAACGATGGCGAACTTCCAGAAACCAAGCAGCAACATACACATGAGACCAGATAATCGTGACCTCGATCCAGAGGCAGAATTCAATCACGAGTTTCATCAAATAAGAAGACACCAAGAGCTCATAATTGACAATGCTGGAACAGTCTCACCATCATCATTAACGAAGAACGAATGTTGATATCCTATCTGGCGCTCGGCGCCCAGACTACAGATGTCAGATCCTATCTATCCTAGACTACAATGCCAAAGATGACGACAACTCCCCGAAGTACGAGCAGATCTCAACCTATGTCATTCGCCGCAAGCACCAGGTATGTCTCTCACATCACTCACAACCTCGTTCCCCAACACACAGATGCCATATGCACACGAGCAGAGCTCTCTCTCTTTCACACACACACACACACAAACAGTCGCCAATCACAGGCACATACACACACACAGACACACACACACACACACACACACACACACACACACACACCTTCAGAGACACGCTCGTCTGCACACCTCTGAAAAAAATTCGAAACGAGGAACACTGACGATACTATGCACTGTCGTATGCAGTACCACGAGCCTTATACGTCTACTTCCTCTAATTTGCTTTTCCTTGCTGTCAACGGCATGAAGTGGTAGGAGACTTCCAAGACATCCTGTGCTTGGCAGTTGGCTGAACGATATGCACATGTAACTCTTGTTGAAACAGTTGACAACGTGACACAATTGAACAGGTCATGAGCTCTCTCTCTCTCTCTCTCTCTCTCTCTCTCTCTCTCTCTCTCTCTCTCTCTCTCTCTCTCTCTCTCTCTCTGCCCAGCTGCGTGTGTTTGCATGTGTGAGCAAAGTCGAAGAGCCAGCGGCGGTTGTCGTCGCCATCGGGGGGAAAAGGGAGGGTGGAAGTCGAAGAGCCACCGATGCCAACTATCGCTATCAAGGGGGGGGATGATTGTGCGTCCCAAACGAAAAGGGGAATGGTTTCTCTGTTGGCGATGTGACATGCCTGGCTCTCTCTCTCTTTCACACACATGTGCCAGGTACTATCCTCTGAAGTGGCGCCTTGATGCAGGTACCTCGAAGACGAAGCTGGGGCTATGGCATCACAGGTAAGTCTCTCTCTCTCTCTCTCTTTCTCGGGCCTCCCCCGCATCTCTCTCTCTCTCTCTGTTCTTCCCCTTCATCATGCTCGTCGCCTCCTTCTCCTGCTTTTTTTCTACTTCGTCGTCTTCCCCTTAATCGTTTCCACCTCCCACTGTCATCTTCTCTCTTCCCACTTTTTGCTTCCCTTTCGAGTGCTCACCTTCACTAATCCCAGCCTGCTGATTCCTCTGTTCGCGTGGTTATCTCCTATCTTCTCCCGCGCGTCGATCTCCGCATCCGCCTGCTCTAATCCTCCCCCTCCTCCTTCTTCTTCTTCTTCTTTCTCTTCGTGCTGCTCCATAAGTCCTACCTACTCTCACTCTCATACATACACACACACACATACTCATACCCAATCGTATACGCACACACGTGCGCACATACATACACACTCACACACACACACACACACACATAGGAGTAGTAATGAATATATCCGCGTTCAAGCGGTAGATTCATTCATCTTATTTTATTATTTTGCTTATTTATTTATTTATTTGTTTTTCATCCTGCTCGTTTTATTGCAGGTAGCTGCGGGAGTTAAGCCTCGAGATTGAAGACTTACCTGTCCTTTGTCTCGCTCCCCCGTCGTCGTCGAGTCGTCATCGGAGCCGTCGTCGTCCGTAGGTGCATCGTCGTCGTCGTCCGTCCGCAGGTGCATCATTCTCCCCAGCGGCACACCGTCGAGATCATCGTGATCCAGACACTTCACCGGACCACTCAATCGGTAGGAGCAACAGCGGCGTGTACAAAGGGCAAGGACGTGATTAGCGCGAGCTGATGACTTGCGCTTACTAGGCATGCCTCGTTCAAGATTGATAATTACAACAGTCTACCCCGTCGCGGCGAACCCCCTTCCCTTCTTCTTCTTCTTCTCCTTCTTCTTCTTCTCCTTCTTCTCCTTCTTCTTCTTCTTCTTCTTCTTTTTCTTTCCCTTCTACCTTTCCTCTTGTTCTCTCCTTCTTCTTCCCCTTCTCCTTCTACTTCTTCCCCTTTCACCTTTTCTCTACTTCTCCTACCCTCTTCCCGATGCGTTCCATCTGTCTCCACGCGGCCATCCTCTTCCGCTCCTTGCACCATCTCCATCGCTCCCCGCGCACCATCTCCATCGCTCCCCACGCACCATCTCCATCGCGCTCGTTGTCCCCTCCATGCTCTCCGCGCGTCTTGCACCCTTCTGCGCACTTCCTCCCCGCTTGCGCTACCGCCCCGTAGTCGTCTCTCTTCGTTCCCTGTCTCCGAGTCCCCCGTCCCCCTTTCCCCGACACACTGTTGGCCATTGAATGTCGAGAAGCCCCGGGGAATGAATCTACCTCGGTACTAGCGCTAAATTCAACGAGTTTTCATACGAGAACGGAGGAAAGGGAAAAAAAACAACACAAAACAAACAAAGAAATCTAGAAAATCGTAATGAAAAAAAAAAATTAAAAAAAAAATAATAATAATAATAAAGAAATTTGAATATGACAAAACGAAAATCTAACTATCTAACTACCCTGTCCTACCATTTGTCGTGCCCTCGTTTTCAAACGAGGCTAACTACAACTACTAACTCTAACTAACTCGGATTTCAAGGTCACGGGTTCAAGTCCCCATCGGCCGAACGCGGGGCTAAAATTGAGCTCCTTGCAAAAAGGAGCTAGCTCAGCGGTGGACTGGATTCGATCCCTGCATCCATCGCTTAACATCCATGTGCCTAAACCTACTGAGCTAGCTCCCACTTCAAGTAAACGGAAAGCAGCTCACTATGTATATAGTAGCGGGGCTCAGTCCAACCAGCGGCCTGAGCCCGTTCTAGCCTGTGTGCGTGTGCACGCGTGCTGGTCTGCATGTCTGCCTGTGCGTTCACCGGCTTGAGTATGTGTACGACCCGCAGGGGTACTTGGTTAACCGAACAGCCGGAAGGGCCGGTACTTACCCATGGCCGCGACATTGAGGGTTGCGGTGGGGAAAACACCCAGGTGGTGGGGTAGGTTGGTACTACACCAAGCAGAGATGGATGTGTCGGGTACTCGAGGCCGAGCAGAAGAAGATAAAATTAGCATTTTTAGAGGCCCAGTACCGGTAGGTAGACATGTATCAGCCTAAATCTCAGTGTGTGTCGTAGCTGTACCCGACACAACACTAACCTAACCAACCCTCCGACCCTTCGACCTTCTCGGTCGGAGGGTATTATTATTGGTCATAACCATCACAACGCGCGTCATAACAGCGCGCGCTCATACGCTCGAAATTTTCTCAACGATTCGCCCCGACCTCAATGGCCGAGAAAATCGTTTCAAGTATCACGCCAAAGCGTGCACACCCTTTCTATTCCAGACCGGCTCCGCCAGGGTAGCTGACGTCGTCGTTGTGTCAAATGCAAAAGCATGGCCAAATACCCTTGTAAGGGTATTTGGTCCGACACCGAGGGGGTGGGCCTCGAGGACCCGGATCCCATCTTTGTCTTAGGGGTTAGAAGATGGCCATCTTTTACAGTTTTATGCGTGTGGTTTCCTTCATCCTTTCTCAATACAATTTGCTATTCATGCATACATCCGACTTAGCGTCTAGTGCTCGAGTTGAGGCTTGCAACCCCAAGCAACACTAGCCCAACCGGTCGTTCAACCATAGCGAAGGACAGGGGCACCCCCTCTATTTTCACTCTTTCTGACCTCTCAGTTTCTTGCTGTTTTCAGGCTCATTCAAGACTTAGTTGGATTAGGCTCCTAGGGAAGGGGTGTTCTTCACGCCTCTTTACCCATAGGTTCCCTAACCTCTCTTGTACTCGACCAACACTCAATGCCTTGCTTTACTTGTCAATCCGAACTCATGGTCTCTTCTCAAAGGTGCAATCTTTGTTCCATCCAAAACTCACAATAGAACCATCCCAACCAGTCTCATCCCCATACCCCGAGCCATTGTTTTGTATATACTTTTTCGAAGGTAGCTCATCCAGGAAGTAGCTTCAACATGCTATCTTCTAACTCATCACGGCACAGTTCTAGTTAGTCCTTGCACTGCTCATTCCTCGCAAGCTCACTCATACTATCCAAACTTCGCCACTCCAATATTGCAAAAGAAAAACACATTTTTTGTTCAATGGTCATTTCGTCGAGTCCCTCTCGTTGTCATCTGTTTTGTCCCGCTTGGTCCCCTGCTCATCCTTTCTTCCTACTGACCCTTCGACTCCCAGACCGGAGGCCAGGATCTCCCTTTTTCTTTCTTGCAATTTCTCGCAACTCCCTTTCATTGTAAAAGTCTCGAGGAGTAGCTGCCACTCCGTCCTCCATCAGCTCCTTGGCCTTGATAATCCAGTCGTGCTTGATTACGCTAATCCATTGCTCAAACCAATGGTTGGGCGTCGACCCAAACTCATCTTCCCATCTGAAGGATCCTTGGCGTGGCTGGTTTGTAGGGGGTCGCCTTTCTTCTTTGGGCCTTGAGATCTCATCCCTCTCATCATCACTACTAATCTCGATGACCTCTTGCACTTCTTCCTCCTTGTTCTCATCTTCTTTCCTTTGTACGGGGTTGAACTCACCCGTGAAGTTTTTCCGATTTAGGTTATAAGGGACGTCCGCCCTCCTTTCATATCCTTCACCAAAGTCCGTGTACCTTCCCTCACAACTGTCGTGGCCGCTCCGCTCGTCATGCGGAGTCTCCTTTTCTTCTTCCCCTTCTTCGCCACCGTTGTTCATATCTTGCCTTTCTTCGCCCTCCTTGTACCATTGCTCATGTTGTTTACATCCCTCGGCCTCCTCCTCGACAAAAGTCTGAGCCCTTTCTCCTCCCGATCTGCCCCTTTCTCCCATAGTCGCTCTCTCTTCCACGCTCTCATTCCCTGATGAGATATATATCCCTTCTCCCTTTCTGAGAGGCGAAGGCCCTCTACACACTTGTTTTCACGCCCCCCTGCCCACTCCTTGTTTGGACAGGTACCCTATATACAATGTTCTCTTTATAGTTCTCCTATCCCCACTTGGTCCAGCTCCTTCCCGCTCGTTGGGCCTGTTGATCACATTGTTGTCGTTCTCGTTGCCGAATTTCATTCTCGCTTTCTTAAGGCTTCTTCCTTGATCCTATATAACAAAACAACACCCGTCGAGCCCCTCATACACACATTCCCCCAGTTTGGTAGGACATACCTTTTTCCCCCCCCAGCGTGCTCCCCGTATCCCTCGTACAAAACCATATTATACATCACCCCTCCATACATATGTCGCAGTTGCAATGATCCCATCATCCTCACAAAAACTATGGTACAATGCTTCAGGCAGCCTTTCCCACTACCAACCATCCCTTACACACACAAAACCAATGGCACAAAGGCCCCAAGGCATCCCGCTTCCCCTTTTCACTCAACCCAAGCCATTGCCCCCCTCCCAAAAAAGGAAAGCCCCACAGACGTAGTAAGAGACAAAACATAGTGTGGGCAAGGCTGCCGCCAGCTCTCAGTTTGTAGACTCCTTAGTTTCCTTATCCTGGGCTTCCTGAAGCCATTGTTCCACTGGGTCCCGACATAGAAACCTGACCAGTCGTTGCCCCGCGAAGGGTCCTTTCAATCCAGTTCCATCCAAATCTTTCAATTCGAAGGTGTTAAGTCTCACACGCTTAGCAACCCGGTAGGGGCCTTTGAACCTCCTCCCCAGTTGCCCAGACCATGTGCTTTTCAGTGCCAAGTTTCTAACCAGTATCATTTCCCCTACCTGAAGGGGCTCTTTTCGGATATTTTTGACCTGGTCCCATCTTGATTTATCCCTCATCCTGCTATCTAGTACCCGATTGACTATATCTTCCATGGCCTCCTCGTTTTCCTTACCTGTTGACATTGCGCCTCAATTAGCTCTTCCGTGGTCATGTGCGGATCGTCATCTAACTTGTTCCATGTAGGTATCAAGGCTTCCACGGCGAAATCGATCTCTCTTCCGTACCAGAGTTCCGCTGGGATACACCCCGTTGTCCTCTTAGGTGTCATGTTCTCCGAAAAGACAGCCTGCTTAAGATATCTAGGCCAATTCCTCAGGTCATCCGCCGCGAGCTTCGCAATTGTGTTCTTTAAGGTCCGGTGCCCCCTTTCCACAGGTGCATTGGCCTCAGGGTGGTATGGCTCGATGAGCTTGATAGGTACGCAGAGCCTTTTAAGCATTCCCAACACTTCTTGGTTTACAAATTCCTTTTCATTGTCTGCTATAAACCTCATGAAGAAGGGATGCCTCAGGTAGAAATCCTCTATCCAATTTGCTACACCTTTCCCCGTTTTTTTCTTGAGGGCGACCACCTCTACGAACCCACTCAAGTTGTCTCGTGCATCCAAAATATACCTATATCCGTCCGTTGATACAGGCATGACCGCAAGGTCAAGATGGACCAGATGTCCCTGCCCTAGCATCCGTGTTGGTCTAAGCGGCTCGAAGACGCGGGCCGAGCTCTGTTCTTGGCAGATCAGACAGGTTTAACAGGATGTGGCCACCATACCTGCCATGCCTGGCCAATCATAGAGAGGGGTTATTTTTGCAAGGGTCCCTTTGGACGATCGATGTCCCCCTGCTAGTCCGTCGTGCATCGCCTGGATTACGTCCAGCTGCCTAGACCTCCCACATATGACTCTCCAAGGCGTAACACCTTCCTCCGTCCTGAACAGATGACCGTTCCTTAGGACGTATCTTTCGGCCCCCTCCCTTGTCTTAAGGCTGACCTCCACGGGCTGCTTGTTCCCTACCATTAGCAATCCGATTTCTCGAAAGATCCGTTCATACATCTGAACATAGAAAAACCTTTTTCCTTCTTGATCCTCACCCTGCTTCTCCTGCATCTGGTTTACCATTAGCTGCAACTTTTTTCGCTCTTAAGACTACTAAGCTCATCATGATTTTCCGACCTCCCTCAACAACCATTTTGCTATCAATTCCTCCTCGTGTGGTGACTGGCCCTTCCCTAAGCTCCGCAACTATGGAAGGTGCCCCTTTTTCCAAAGTCTGAATCAACAATTCTCCCGACACGCATCCTTCGCTCATCATTTCGTTATCAACCGCAAGGGTTCCTCCTTCGTATTTAAGGAACGCGTCGATAGGTTTCGCATCCTCCACTCCTTCGGGTGTGATGCAGACATAACTTAGCCCATCGGCCTTGTTTCTAAGTCCAGCAATTCGTTCGATTTTATAATCAAACTGGTAGATGAAGCCTACCCATCTCCCAATCGTCGGATCTATAGGCTTGTAAGTTTTTAAAGCCTCTGCAACATTGGTCGGATCGATCCTTAGGATAAAACACCTCCCGAATAGGTAGGCTTGGAAGGTCTTGAGGCAATGTAGAACGGCTAGGACCTCCTTCTTGAACTGGGAGTATCGCCGTTCAGCAGAGTTCAAGGTTCGACTTTCGAACCTAATTGGTCTTTCTTTCCCTCCCTCATCTTTTTGTATCAGAACGCCCCCTTCGGCCAAGGGTCCTCCGTCCGTCTCGAGAATAAACGGTCGTCCAACTTCGTCGTTAAAACAGGGCGCTGCCAAAGTGATTTGCTTCGATGCCAGTATGTCCTTGAGGTTTTGGACGGCTTCCTCTCGCTCATCAGTCCAATCCATGGTTCCTTCCTCTCTGATCATGGCACGGATACGCTCGGCAATCTTGGAAAAATTTTTAATAAAAATTCTTTAAAAGCCGACCACGCCTAAGAATGTTCTTACCTCCATCATCGTGCACAGGGGCGTTGGCCACTAAGATATCTTGTCGGTCTTTGCCGGGTCCGACTTTCTTCCATATGCGCCACAGCGAAATCCCAGTATGGTTACCTCTGGAACCGCAGAATACTCTTTGGTTCGCTAGCCGTGATATTGTATACTAGGAAGCAGATGAGTAAGTCCTTGATGTCCTGTAAATGGCCCCACTCAAATTTTTGAATTATCGGCTGGACTTCCGTCTCGTCCTTCTCCTGGGCGCCTTTGATCGGGTTGTCGTCGATGTAGGGTTCACATTTCTCTGGCAACATGTCCCCGACTACGGCGAACATCCTCCTTTGCGCTTCGGCTACTATGTTTGTAAACCCCATAGAGGTTACCTGCATCTGCAACTGTCCTACGGGAGTATGCATTGTGGTGTATGGTCTGTCCCGAGCGTCCAATAGGAGCTGGTCGTACCCTGAATACAAGTCTATCAGGGAGTAAATGCTCCGGCCGGCGTGGGATTATGCCAGCAAGTCGGCCTGCGGCAGTGAACCGGCATCCCGGATGGTCACCACATTCAACTTTTGCAGATCTTGAATCCACCTCAGCGTCTTGTTGGGCTTTCGAAAGACGAACCATCTATTTGCATACAGAGACGTGGTAAGCTCTGCGACGAAGGAGTCCATTTTTGTTCTAAGTAGGTTCGTCACTTCTCCCGCTATCCCGAAGTCGTAGGCTGACCCTTTGTCATTCCAACATTGATGCTCTACTGTGTGGATCCTAACCGGAGGGATTAGCTTCGCGTCTAACTGCCCCTTCTGATGATCACTAAAGGCGAATGCCAGATGAAACTCCTGACACGTCCTCTTGATCAGGAGGGTTTCTTCTTCTATTAAGAATCCCTCTATTCCTATCTTCATGGTGTCAGCCACCTCATCCGGTATCCAATGTCCTGCCATCGCTCGTTTTTTTCGGATTAATCAAAGAACCTCTTCTTCCTTTTCCATAGCCTCCTCCTTAGATGTATCTAGCAGTGTTGAGACTGACTTAGCTTTCTTCCCTACTGGTTTGTATTTTCGAATACTTCCTTCCGGGATCTTTCTCCTAAAAAATGAACGGTCGGGATTGCTCTTGTTGTCTCTGTGCCCCGCGGTTGAATACTGATTACCTTTTCATTCAGACAATATCCCTTTTGTACTTTCTCTTCAAATTTGGCCAGCGTCCTCGAGTCCACCCCTATTCTGTGATATCTGGTAGCTTCGATGAGTTGTCGCAAGTCGGGGATTTCGAGTGCGATTTCTGACGTCTCTCTCTGTACCTCTTTCAACTTGGGCAGACTGGCTCCAAGTTCAACTTCTGATTCCTTCTCTACTACTATGACCCCTAAGGCCTCGTCCTCCTGCCTTCTCTTCTTCTGAGGCAGACCCATCTTGATCCATTCTTTCTTGTTGAACGCTTCCTCAATCATGATTTCTACCTTTTCTCTCATTCCCTTCAGTCGAGTAAAAGCCCCCTTTCGAGCATTATCTTCAAATGAAGGTGACCACGTCGCCAATTTTCCCTTAGGAGGGTCTCCTCTGGTTCCGAAGAGTCGGAGGAGCTCCCCACGATCAGTTACCGGGTTCTCTAAGTCTACCATGTACGTCCCGTCATGCAGATGCATCCCTATCATTTCTACACTGGCGCACCATGGTCTCCCGAGGATTATGTCGTGGTCCATCTCGTCTAATACGGTCATCCGTTGAAATGACCGGATCGACTCCCGGACGCCTGCCTTGACCGCATATTTGGTGACGTATCCTGAAAATGGGATCTCGCCACCGGCCCCTCGGATGCTCCCCATTACTTCGTTGTTAACCACACAGCCGGTAACTGTTGCGAAATTTCTCCTTATAAGTGTGATTTCCGCACCTCCATCTACTAGAGCGTTTGTGCGATGTGTCCCGATCTGGACTTTTAGCTTTCCTACGAGCACCGCATGGAAACTAAGCTTCGTCCTGGGCGGAGCCCTCATGACTTCCCCGTCTTCACGGTCTGGTAAGCTCAAGCAGATGTCCACGAAAGCCTTTTTCTAGATCCTCCAAATCTTCAGGAATCCTTTGAAGGTTAGCGACTTCTTGTGGAGCTTTCTCCTCCTTTTCTTCTTCCCGCGATTCCGGATTTTCGTCTACCTTCACTCGTCGGCGAGTCAATAGTTGTCTAAGCCCTTTGAGCAGTCTGGGGCTTGCTTGCAACATGCTCTGAAAGGATACTGATACCCCGTTGATCTCCAACATGGTTAGGATCGGGATTTGATACCTGAACTTTTTCTTTGCAGCGGTGACCTTGTCCGTAGGCTCCTCTTCCCTAGGCTTTCCATAAACTTTCCTTGGTTCCCCGGTTTCAGGCTCCGCTTGGGCCGTCGTGCCTCCAGACACCTCCTCCATCACTGTGTCACGGATAATTCTTCTTCCAACCGTTCCTAGTCGAGTAGTTGCGTTCACCCTATCGCACCCGTCACTTTCTAGGATAAAGTTGACCTGAGCCTCGCGTCATCGGAGTTTATCCCAGACGATATCGGCCACCGGCTCAGCTTCTACCGCTGCTATCTTTAACCCATTGAGGATGATAACGGCACGCTGCATCCCTCCAAGTAAGTTCCAGTTTACTCGTTCTCCCCGAGGTCCGAATATTTTCCCTTTTAGTGACCTGGTGCATCTCCTTTTTATAATATCGTGGTTGAGCTTTGGGCAAGCTCACACAAAATGTTCAATCGCGGTGCAGTATCGACAATGCTCATTAGCGGGATCTCTCCGATTGAACCCTCGGTTGGCCACTCTTGCCAGGACTACGGCTTCTTGGGGAAGGAGGGAGGGCCAAGATACTTGCGCCTGCATTACCATTAGCGCGTTCTCCACCCTCTCTATCTTATTGTCAACTTCGTGCACATGCTCGTGTAGGCTCTCGATCCCCTTTTTCACCTTGTCTCCCGTCTTGCCGGATAGATTTATGACTTCTCCTTCCTTAAGCAAGGCCAACTTCTCGGTCACTACCGTTTTCTCGGCAAGGTCCGTTACCGTACTGAAATCAACATCCCTCGTATTCACGAATTTACTCGTCTGCTAGTAGGGTGACAACATCTTGTCCTTATCGAACTCAGAGAACTGCCTGAGGAAGTACTTGCTCATTATTCGGTCTGTTACCCCGGGGATCCTTAGTGCCACCAGGGTAAACTTTCTCAGGAAGTCATTGTACGTGGCGAAGTTATTCCTTCTAATTCGGCTTTTGTTGCCATCTTCTCAGCCGCCAGATACTTCCTCATCATCACATCCCCGGTCTTCTTCCAAGACCTGCTTGTGGCCACGATAGCCATTATGTCTCGTCCTAGGATCAACGACACATGCTGTCCTAGGTGGTCCATCTTTTCCTCTTCACTCCATTTCAGTAACGGAGCCAAGTTTTCGTAGTCTATTAAGAACTGCGCGATGTTTGCCCCGTCAAACGTCAGCTTTTTCTTAGCGTCCGCGAGGTAGCCTTGGTTTTTGTTTAGTGCTCGTGTGAGGGATGGCACAATCTTTCGAAGGACACCCTCGGAGCTGCTGGTCTCGCCTGCTGTACTAGTTTCCTGCCCCTCCTTGCCGACCATTTGTTCTTCTCTGGTTTTTGCAGTCCCTTTCGGATCAAACCATCCCAACACCCTTTCCCTAAGGCTCCAGAGGCCCTCGCACCCCCGCATTACTATTAGTGCGGCCGGTAGACGGTTAGCGCTACTGTCTATGGCTGGCGGGTTTGT